TCCAGGCTCTGAGCTGACTGTCAGCACAGAGCCCGATGCAGGGCTGGAACCCATGAACCGTGAGATCATGACCTGAGCCAAAGGTGGATGCTCAACCGACTGAGCCACCCAGGCGCCCCTCATTTTTTATTTCAATAATTTTAAGGTCCTCTCTCTTTTCCTTAGCCAGTCTAGTCAAAATGTTGTCAATTTTGTTGATTGTTTCAAAGAACCAACTTTGTTTCATTGATTTCCTCTGTTGTTTTTCTATCCTCCGCCCTAATATTTGTCATCTTCTTCTTTCTGTTAGCTTTGGGCTTAATTTGCTCTTCTTTTTCTAGAAGTGTAAAGTTAGGTTAGTGATTTGAGATCCTTTTCCTTTTTTTTTTTTTTTTTTTTTCCTCTCTTCAGGCCCCGGATATCAAGAACCTCATACCCCACCAACTGAGCCAGCCAGGGGCCCCCTTCTTTCGTTTTAATGTAGGCATATACAGCTAGAGATTTCCTCTCAGCATTGCTCAGGCCGTGTCCCATAAATTTCCGTGTGTTGTGCTTTCATTTTCTTCTGTCTCAAAGCATTTTCTAGTTTCTCTTTTGATTACTCCCTTCCTTCCTTCCTTCCTTCCTTTCTTTTTTTCTTTCTTTCTTTCTTCTTTCTTTCTCTCTTCCTTTCTTTTCTTTCCTTTGTGGGGAGATTTTAAAGGTAATTCTTTCATTTTTTTTTTAAATATTTTTATTTATTTCTAGGAGAGAGAGAGAGACAGCGTGAGCAGGGGAGGGTCAGAGAGAGAGGGAGTCACAGACTGAAACAGGCTCCAGGCTCTGAGCTGGCAGTTAGCACAGAGCCCGACGTGGGGCTCAAACCCACGAACCGCGAGATCATGACCTAAGCGAAAGTCGGACGCTTAACCGACTAAGCCACCCAGGCGCCCCTTTCTTTCATTTTTTACAGTAGGATAATTACAAATTAATCATAGAACATAGTATATATTGTGTAGATTCTTTTTTTCAAAGAATTGAAGTGTAGTTGACATACAATGTAATGTTAGTTTCAGGTGTACAACAGGATCCCACAGGTCCACATATTACTCAGTGCTCACCACATCCGCCACTGCACAATGTTATAACAATATTATTGGCTGTATTCCCTGTGCGGTACTTTTCATCTCCGTGGTTTCTTTGTTTTATAACTGGAAGTTTGTACCTGTTCGTCCCATTTGCCTGTTTCACCCACCCTGCCAGCCCCTTCTCCTCTGACAACCTCTAGTTCGTTTTCTGTTTTATGGATCTGTTTCTGCTTTTTGTTTGTTTATTTTGTTTTTTCAGATTCCACATATGAGTGAAATCATATGGCATTTGTTTTTCTCTGTTTGATTTATTTCACTTAGCATAATGGCTTCTAGGTCCTTCGATGTCATTCCAAATGGCAGAGCTTATTCTTTTTTATGGCTGAGCAATATTCCACTGTGTGTGTGTGTGTGTGTGTGTGTGTGTGTGTGAGAGAGAGAGAGAGAGAGAGATCTTTTTTTTTTATTTTAATTTTTATTTATTTATTTATTTATTTGAGAGAAAGAGAGACAGTGTGAACAAGGGAGGGTCAGAAAGAGAGGGAGATACAGAATTGGAAGCTAGGCCCCAGGCTCTGAGCGAGCTGTCAGCACAGAGCCTGACGTGGGGCTCAAACTCACAAACTGTGAGATCATGACCTGAGCTGAAGTTGGATGCTTAACCAACTGAGCCACCCAGGCGCCCTTATTTTTTACTTTTAAAAAATTTTTTGATGTTTATTTATTTTTGAGAGAGAGAGACAGAGCATGAGTGGAGGAGGGGCAGAGAGAGACACAGAATCCGAAGCAGGCTCCAGGTTGTCAGCACAGAGCCTGATGCAGGGCTCGAACTCGTGAGCCGTGAGATCATGACCTAAGCTGAAGTCGGACGCTTAACTGACTGAGCCACTCAGGAACCCTCACATCTTTTTTATCCATTCATCTAACAATGGACATTTGGGCTGCTTCCATATCTTTTGACTCCTTTTTTAACCCATTAGTTTAGGTATGTTGTGTAATTTGCACACATTTGTTAAGTGTCCGCTTTTTGTTATTAATTTCTAGTTTCATTCCATTGTGCTTGGAAAAGATACTTTGTAGGATGTAAATCTTTTAAAATGTAATGCAGGGTTTTTTAAAAAAATTTTTAATATTTTATTTATTTCTGAGAGAGAGAGAAAGCGTGATCAGGGGAGGGTCAGAGAGAAAGGGAGACACAGAATCTGAAGGAGGCTCCAGGATCTGAGCTGTCAGCACAGAGCCCGATGCAGGGCTCGAACCCACAAACCCTGAGATCATGACCTGGGCAGAAGTCAGATGCTTAACCAACTGAGCCACCCAGGTGCCCCAAATGTAATGCAGTTTTGTTTGGTGACCTAATTTATGATCCATCCTGGGAGAAGGAGGTCCGTTCTGGTGTTTGTAGGTGAGTGGCCTACGTGTGTCCGTTTGGCCTTGCTGATTTACTGTGCGCTTAGGTCCTGTGTCCTTGTTGATCTTCTCTCTGGTTGTTTTGTGCTTCATTGAACGTGGGGCATTGACGTCTCCAACGCTTCTTGTAGAAGTGTGTATTTCTCCTTCAGATTTGTCCATTTTTGCTTCGTATTCTTTTAGGATTGTGTTATTAAATATGTGTTTATAATTATTATATCTTCTTGATGGATTTACCCTTTTATGAATATATAACATCTTCATTTGTGTCTTAAATATTTCTTGATGTAAAGTCTACTTTGTCTGATACTAGTATATTCACCCTTGCTGCCTTTTGGTTACTATTTGCGTGGAATACCTTTTCGCATTCTTTCATTTTCAGCCTATTTGTGTTTTTTGCTCTAAAGTGAGTTTCTGGCAGACAGCATACTGTTAAATTATTTTTTAATGTTTATTCCTTTTTGAGAAAGAGAGAGTGGGGGAGGACCAGAGAGAGAGACACACACACAGAATCTGAAGCAGGCTCCAGGCTCCGAGCTGTCAGCACAGAGCCTGATGCGGGACTTGAACTCATGAACCGTGAGATCATGACCTGAGCTGCAGTTGGACACTTAGCTGACAGAGGCACCCAGGGGCCCCTGGTTAAATCATATTTCATCCATCTGACAGCCTCTGCCTTTTAATTGGAAAGTTGAACGAATTCACAAACCAGGAGGCTTCTTGCTCATAAGAAGGTGAGAAACTAGATGGTAAGGACTGGTTTCTCAAATGCTTGTATCTCTCCACCGGGCCTATCTCAGTGCTTGCCACATCGAGCCCCTACAAGTGTTTGCTGATGGCACCTGACTGCTTCCGAGGGAACCTGGGCCTGCTGGCGGAGCTGTGTCCGGCCGGGGAGGTGGCAGTGCCCGGGGGACTGGGCATCAGGAGAGGAAGGGGCATGTGCAGCCCATCAGCCCCAGTATTTGTTTCCAGCATCGAAGGCCAGCTACAGACTGATCTAATGGGCAGGCTGGGCTGGAAAGGAGGATGGGAAGAACGAACTCCAGGCTGTGACATCTTAAGGACCTCTGCGGGGTGAGTGCCCTCTTCCGGGGCCTGTCCTCCGCTGCTTAGCCCAACGTGGGCTTGCTCCAGATGACCATGGACCGGCACCCGTGCGTTCTCTAGGACTGTAGCCTGGGAGCGTGGCCCTGGCAGGTCTAGGGAGCTTTGGGTTCAACAGACAATAGTCTGTGAAGGTGGAGAAGAAGGGGGCCCAGGAAGTGTGTGGTCCTGTGCTCACGTTTCCCGGTCCAGGAGTACGGCTAGGTCTGGTGGTCCGTGCTGGGTACCTCCAGGATTGCAGCCAGTGTTTGGTAGACTCAGTCTGTACTCAGCCCCGGACTCTCCCTAGGACTCCGCACCTACGTCCCGATGCTCACTGCTTACAAACAGAAGGGCCAGGCTGTGACCCCAGAATGCTAGATCAGCTCGCAGGCATTTAACCGCCGAGTTAAGTGACCTCTGAAGAGGCCACCACCCTCTTCTCTCCTGGATCTCCTCCTCGGTCTGACTCCCTATTTGGATCTCATCACTAAGGTCCTTCATCATTTGTCCCCAACCGACTGGCTGCAGCCTGATATTCTCCCCCTCGCCCTCTCTCACATCCTAGGGGCTCCCCCACCCCCAATCCCCTGGGTGTTCTGGGTCCATGCCTTCCACCCTCCTGGTACCTCTGCCTGAGATGCCCCTCCCCCACCTCAGCCCAGGAAACTCGTTTTTCTTCTCTTGAGGTCCAGCTTGCGGGGAGGGGACACCTCCACGGGGCTGCCACCCTGACTTCCAAGAGGAGTCCAGGCACCCTTTTTTGGAATCTTACATTACGTACTTCTGCAGGGCCCTCCCAGACCCCATCACCTGCTACATTCTGCTTCCTTGGCCTTGGGAGCAGGGACCGTGTCTCCTTTGTTTCAGGGTCACCAGACCAGCCAGGGCTTGACACAGTGAATAGTGGTCACTTGGGGGCTGCCCTGGGGCTTTATTTCAGCTACCAAGGTCATATCAGCCATCTTACCTCTGAGCAGGGACCCTGTGGTGGGTCAGCGCCTGGTATATAATAGCTGCTCAGGGAATGTTCATGGAAGGCAGGCGGGCAAGTGAACAGAAAGGCAGGTACCTCTAAAAGCAAAACCCTTTGCTGTTCTCTGGGCTGGGCAGGGTGGTACAGGTGTGTGGTGGAGCAGGCCTCTCCTCCATCCCTCCAGGAAATTGGCTGACCGCCTCTCTGAGGCTCCATTTTTGAGACGGGGGCCCTGGGGAGGCAGAGGACAGCAGTGCAGGGGGAGAGCAATAGTTGTCCCTGCAGCCAGATGCTATCTCCAGGGGCACAGGCCATCATGTGGTCAAGAGGGCCCAGCAGAGGGATGCCCACGGATCCCTGCCGCTCTCAGGGCCTCAGTCATCCCGTCTGTCAAATGGGTACAAGTATCCCTACCCTACCCAGCTTATCAAAGCTGACAGAGCTCGAAGCACTTTGGAAATGAAGACTCGGTGAATTGATTATACAAATGAAGAAGGTTGTTATTAGACCCAGGAGCAGATTTGGAAGGAAAACAGCAAAGATATGGAGCAAGTGCTTAGGACTCCTGCCTCGAGCCTCGTGAGGGAAGGGGAAGCAGGTAGTGGGCAGGAAGAACAGCACCTACAGGGAGGAGGGAGGTGGGGGCTGGGTCCCGGCTGGGCCACGGACCAGGTCACTTCCCCCTGAGACTCGGTTTCCTCACCTGTACAAAGGGCCAGCACAGTCCCTGCCTGGCTCGCCTCAAGTGTCTCAACGTGGCTTCAGTGAGAGAACGGGTGTGAAGGAGCTTTGCAAAAAGTCAAGCATGGTGCACACATGTAGGCCACCCGCAGCTCCAGGACCCAGGCCCAGCTGGGCTCTGGGGAGCGGGGACAGCGTCCAAACACTGTTTGAGGCCCGGAGGACCCTTTGAGTACCTTCAGATCCCTAATGCCTGTTCGTCTCCCTGCTGCTATCAGGCATCCTCTGATCATGGAGTTGCTGGGCACCAGGGAGGGGAGGAGCTCCTACCCTGGGCTGGCCCCTACTCCCGCTCTGAACCCGAGGCTGGGCCACATCAGCCACACCCGTGGCAAGACCCTGCTGGTGGCCTCCAGTCCCCACAGATTAGCAAATGCGTCTCTTGAAATTGACAAATGTACTCTCGATGGGGAGGAAGGGCCACGGTCCTTGGGCCTCTTTTCCCTGATCGGCACCTGTGCAGTGAGGTCTCGTGTGCCTCTGAAGAGTCTGTCTGTGTGATTCAGCTCCATTGCTGGGTGGGGGTTAGAATGACCGCTGGTGAAATCTTCCTTGCAGCTCCCCGATGGATACCAGCCCGGGAAGGAGAGCAGCACCCACCTCCACCTGGCACTTGCAGACTGAGGGGCACCAGCCCAGCAGAGGCTTGGGCCCGGCTCGCCATTCCCCCTGCACAGGGGTCTCAGCTCTGAAGGGGTAGTGAAGAGAGAGCTGTGGGCGAGCCCTGGACGGAGCACTTCAGAGCAACGCCTTGAAGAGGAAGGAGAGGGCAGCTCCACAGGAGAGCCCCAGGGCCAGGAAGAAGGTCATGAGGGTGCCGGCCACCTCCCTCTCGTGCGGCAGCACCTGCCTAGAACACACAGGAGTAGGCGCTCTTAGAAAACATCAGGACGAACCTGGACCAAGCCCCAGTGCCCTGTACCCCCCTTACAACAGGACACCTCACTTCAGTTTCCTGATCTGTCAAATGAGGCCACTGACTGGGACATCTCTCAGCCCCTACAAGTCCGGCATTATAGGATTCTAGACTCCACTGCTTTCCCTCTCTCTGGATTCTCAACTCCATTGTCCCTAGATTAATAGTTCCCCCTTTTGATCAAAACCTTAGCTCCCCTCCAACTGAGGATTTAGGGGGAGTAGCTGGGCCCTAAGGAATGATGGTTCAACCCATTTGTTGGGGAAACAGGCCCTAGAGGAGGCCTTAGAATCAGCGTCTGGGCTACTTGATGGGCAGGAACCTCCCGGGTTGGGGCTTCCTCTTCCTTCCTGCCCCAGGGAGAAGGCCTGACCTGACAGTGGCCAGAAGCAGAGGGGACCCTCTCCTGTAGGCTCTCGCCCTCAAAGCGCTAGCCCACCTCCCCACGCCCAGGCCCACCCTCTGGCCCCCCAGACCTGGGCGCCAGGCACATGGTAAGGGACATCAGGTAACCATTGGAAACTGCGAAGAGCAGCATGAAAGTGATGAAGTAGGCGTCCTGCGGGAAGAGGATGGGCAGCCGGGACCTCTCGGGCACGTGGCACAGCATGAAGAGCGGCACAAACAGGACACGCAGGCAGACCAGCAGGGGCAGCAGCCGGCTGTCCTCATCTGGCTGTGGCAGAGGCGGGGGTGAGGGAGGTCCCTGGGAGCCCGCCCCTGTCACGCCCCCTGACCTATGACTCTACACGAGCTGGTGAGGACCCGGCCCTCAGGCCCCTGGAGACCCAGCCCCTCTAAGCTCCTGGGGCTCTCCCCTGCCCCTCTAAGCTCCAGCTGGGGCTCCCTCCGTGGCAGAACTGGAAAAGACCTTAGAGGGCATCTTTGGTTTTCAAGCTGGGTTCCTCCGAGTACCCTTGGGGGTTCCACAGACCCCTTGGGGGCAGAGGGGGCTGCTGAATGGGATTGGAAGCTGGGGATCCAGGCCCCATCCTAGCTTGGATCAGAGCAGCTCCTCTTTGATCTCCTTTATTTAGTGTATCTCCTTGGAAGAGGAGCTAAAGCAGTCCAAACTGGCTAAAAGCAGTCCAAACACTAGAATCTTGTCCAACCTCTCCTATGGTACAAGAACCTCCACATAACAGCCTCTGAGCACTGAGGGCCGGGTTCTGGGCTGGATGCTGGGCACATAGGCCACTGGGACGTGGCTTCTGCTTTCAAGGAGCTCACAGTCCAAGCCCTGGCTTGCATACCTCCAGGGGCCAGGTGCTCACTACCACTAGGCCAGCTGTTCTGCTGCCAGACCTAGAGCGGTCAGACTTTTGGGAAATCACCTTTCTGTGCTCTTTCACACCCTCTGATCTCCAAATGCTTCCTGAAACCGTTAGGTCTCCCCGCCCAGGTATGCTCACCCATAGGAAATAAGAGGTCAGACTCCGTCCCACCCAGTCCATGATGTTAAAGAGCAGGAAGCAGCAGATAGGGTTGAAGAACTGACCTGGGAGAGAAAGAGGGCTCATCCTGGTCCCTCCTTCCTCTTCCCTCCCCCTCCCCTTCATCCCTCCTCCCTCCTCCCTTCCTCTCCCCTGCCCTGCTCTGCTTCCCAACACTCACTCCACTTCCCAGGGCTGGTGGAGCTGGTCACCATGGCTGTGATGGCGGGGAAGACAGACAGGGTGACTGTGAAGACCAACACAAGGCAGAGCGCCGTCAGCCAGATCTGGGAGCCAGAGGCAGGGGTGTAAGCAGGCGGGGCCGACTAGGGCGCCACACGCAGCCCCAACCCCCAAGCGCTGGTCAGGGCGCAGGACACCTGGGACCTCGGCTCACTGTATTTCTGGCCCACTATGACCCTGGTACCTTGAATCGGACATGAGTCTTAAGGCCCCATTCCATTCTAAGGGTCGTTAGAGAGGGTTGGAGAGAGCAGCTCTCTCTTCCCCAGGGGTGGTGGTTGGGGGCCAAATCCAAGCCAAACCTTTTGGAAGACAATGAAAACGGAAGGTTTTCCTGGCTTCTGGATCTCCTCTGGCTCCAGCTCTGGCTCCTTCTCAGTGTCCAGGTCCAGAGTCAGGGCTACCTTCTGGGGGCTGTTGGGAATACTGTTCTTCTCATCTGGGGCAAGAGGGGAGGGCAGGGTCATGCCTGTGACAGCCAGGCTCGATGGAGGGCAATTCCCAGCAGTTAAAACAAGTGACCCTCCTCCAGCTTGGGATGGAGGCAAAGAGAATTAACTATGGAAAGATGCTAAGCTATTATTATGAAGCACACGCATGTGCCAGGTAGTGTTAAGCACCTTAGGCGGATTATTTCACTGCTACTCCTTCGCAAATAAAATGGCTGAGGCTCAGAGCGGTTAAGTGACTTGCCTAAGGTCACACAGCTTAGATGTTGTGAGACCAGGGTTCAAACAGATGCATTTTGATCCAGAACAAGCATGCTGGAGCTCTACTGTCTCCCCATTTTACAGAAGAGAAAACCGAGGCCCAAAAGGCAACAGGGATGACTTTACTCCCACTGAATTCCCTTCATGATCTTCTGTGTCTGCTCACACAAGGCTACTGGGAGGGGGGGGACTCTACATGGGGACAGAGGGAAGACGCTTCTCTGTGGAGGTAGCTTTAGCCTCCCCTGGGTCTTCCACCTCCCCAGCAGGGTCCCCAGCTCACCAGACTGGAGGAGCTCAGCTTTGGTCTCCAGCTCCTGACCCTGCGCCTGCAATGGTTTCTTGACCAGGTAGTAGCGTGCAAACTCCTGCAGAAGGAAAGCGTTGGCCCCACCTGGCTTGGCTGACGTGTCCGGATCCCTCTCCACCCTGTTGACTTAGAGGCTGGCGTCCCCCAGTGGCTGACTCCTTTGGGGATCAGGTCCCTTCCTCCTCCCCTGGCCTCTCTCAGGGCCTCAGGCTCAGAGCTGTATCTGAGGCTCTGAAGTGGGGCCTCGACCCAACACCAGGCTCACCAGGTGGGGCAGGCTCAGGTAGCACACGATGGACATGAATATGCCCACGCAGGGTGTGATGAAGTACCCCAGGGCGGAGGTCTGGGCATCCACGCCACCTGTGCGGAAACTTCAGCTGCAGAGCGGAGGGGGCTGGTCCCACCGGCTCCCACGGCGGCGGCTGATGCCTCCTGTCCCACTTCCCATCATGCACTTCTCAGATTCGCCTCCCGGCCTCTTCCCCTCTGCTCACTGACAAACTCGGGAGCCTGTGCAGGGCTCCAGCCCAGCCCCACCCTCTGCTTCTCTGACTCCTCCCTCTTGTTGAGCACCTATTACATGCTCATTATTATTGCATACACCTTACAATCTAGGGCTGTAAGAATCATCTAGATGGGAAAACTGACACTGGTGACACGTCTTGTCCAAGGCCCTGGCCGGGGAGCCATGGCACTAGGATTTGGACCAAGTTTATCTGAATCTCAAACTTGTCCCCACTTCCCTCAACCCCAGGCTGCTGCCACATACCAGTGTCAGCCTCAAATCCTGCCCCCGGCCCCATGTTAACCCACTCCTCACCTGGTCCTTCTCTCACTGTAGAGCCCAAGGGCCCTACTCCCTGTCCCCAAACCCAACCCCCAGCTTCCCACCACCTCCACCTCTACCAGAACCTAAGGCATCTCACTCCCAGCACACGCTCTCTGCTCCCAGAATCCCAGAGGCCACCCCTGTCCTCCAGCCACCCAGTTCCACTCACTGGCCATGGACATGAGCATGGCAAGAGCAGCGAAGATCCCAGCCAGGCCCTGGCCGCTGAGGAAGAGGGTGCTGTAGGTGGAAGGCATGGTGCCCAGCTGCCCGAAGAGGCTGCCCTGCAGAACTGCACAGAAGGCTGTGGGGGGATAGGAGTGGGGGCCGCAGCTCAACTAGGCAGGCCTTGGAGGCTCCCTGGAGGAGGTGTTGGCAGACTCTGGACTAGGTTGGGCAGGCATGAGACTCTGGGCACTCTGGTGTATCAGCCCCCATTCTTTCCTCTGCTCCGGTGCAGCCATAGGTCCGAGGGGCCCGGGGCCAGGAGGCCTCATCTTAGGTCACTGTGGGTTTGGGACAAGTGACTTTTCTTCTCCCTCTGGGCCTTGGTTTCTCATGAGGGATAGGAGTGCTGCCGTCTTCCCTTCTTGGGAATGTGGGGCCCTTTCACTTACAAAGAAGAGGCTGGGCTAAAGCCCTGGCCTGAGTGGGGAGGTGGGGAGGGACAGCGGTGCTCACAGTTGATGAACCAGACAGAGGCCATGGTGATGGAGAAGAAAGGCCCAGGGCTCATGTCCACCTTGACCAACGCCGCCGTCAGAGCAAAGAGCAGCAGGATGACCAGCAGGCTCCCCAGAATCCGCACCATCTCGGGGATGCTGCTCATAAGGAGGGGCAGAGAGGGCATGGGCTGGGCCCCGGCCAGGCAGGGGGGAGGTAGGCAAGAGACTGAGGCCAGGGCTGGACTGGGGGAACTGAGGGGGACATGCATGGGGAGTGGAGGAAGGATGGGAGCTCTGTCCCAGGCCCAGATGGAGCTTCCTGAGCTGGGGGCAGGGGAGGGACCACAGAGGGTGGCCTGTGCGGAGCCTGAGGGGCGGGGTCTCTCACCACTGGTACAGGAAGGAGTTGAGGAGGGTGAAGAGCAGCAGGGGCAGCTGGGACAGTAGTGTCACCCAGTTGTTGAAGTTGAAAGTGTCTGGAGGGCCTGTGTGGTTGGTGCCCAGGGTCCCCGTGGTGTGGTTGGTCTCTGCCAGCCGCCCCTGAAAGTACTGACAGAACGCCAGAGAAGGGGTACAGGGTCACCCTCCAGCCTACCCTGAGGAACCCCCCCCCATCTTGCCCCTCCGCCTCCTCCCATGCTTGGGATTGCTCAGTTAATGTCAGCGGGAACTGTCTGTCTGTCCTTGTACTGATCCCAGCACCTGGCAAACAGTGGGAGCTCGATGAAAGTGCACGGAATTGAACAGCAGACGTCTGGGACAGAGCCCGAGCCCTAAGAGCCCCCAACCTGGGCCCTGCTCCGTCTTTGAATCTTCACTGCCCCGGTTCCAGCTTCCAGCCCCCACTCCTGCCCAGCTTCTAGATTCCCGAGTACTCACCGAGTGCCTACTGTAAGCCAGGCCCTGGCCTAGGTGCTGACCAAATGCATTCTCTCTAGAACACAAATTCGTCCAGCCTCGGCTTAACCTCCCCCTCCCCCTCTGCCCTTGGCTCCCTGTGGCCTGTGGGGCGAGGCCGCAAGGTTTTAGAACTGCATTTGAGGCACTTCAGGACCAGACCCCAGCCTCCCTTTTTGTGCCGCCTCTGGTGCTCCGCTGCTAAGCTGTAGGAACCCCAGGCTCTGGCCCTTTCTCTGCCCCTTTGCAAGGCTGTCATCCTCACCTGGAATGCCTTCCCCCTTTCTGCCCACTTCCCACTATCACCCCGGCCAAACACCAAGGCTTTGCCCACCCTTCTCTCAAGTTACAAAGCACGTCCTCTGTGAAGCAGAAGGAATCGCTCCCTCCCCGCCGGGGACCTGCTGGCTTTCGCTCCAAGCCTGGGATGCTAAGTGTCAGCTTACATTATTAATAGCTCTTTGCACCCAACTCCCTCTCAAGACCAGGGGCCGATTAATCTTTGGGTCTCCGGGACCCAACACGGAGCCAGGGACTGAAGAGGCATCTGGAAAGTTGCTGAGCTGAATGTATATGAATAACCCCACATTTCTGCCTTCCTTTGAGAGAACGTAAGCTCCGTGAGGATGCAGGCTCCCTCTGTTCTGTTCCCCTGTAGCCCCCGTGCCAGGAACAGGGCCTGGTTCCCAGTAGATACACATTGCTAACTGGTGGATGAATGAGCGTAAGCCGTGCCTGGATAACCCACTTTTGGAGTGGGTTAGCCCAGGAATGACTTAACCAGGGAATAACCACTAACGGGCGGTGGGTGGGTAGCCCTTGGCTAGTTCCACAGGCCCTCCCCCCTGAGCTGGTAGCCTTGCCTCTGTAGGATCTGGGCACCTCTGAAAGCTTGGCCTTTCCTATCCGTGAAAGGGGCACCTCCCCTCTCTGAGGCTCCGTGCTTCACTGGACAAACGTGCAAACGGGCATGAGGAGCCAAAGGTGGCGTGGTGTGGAAAGCGCCTGGCACGCCTCTGGTTCAAGGCGACGGTGGTGGCCACGGGGCTGGCCCTCCAGCCGCAAGTCTCACCGGGATGGCCGTAATGAAGAAGTTCCAGGGAAGGAGAGTGCCCAGCCCCAGGATAAAGAAGCTGATCCCGACCAGGTGGTAGCTGTGGGGATCAGTCAGAAGGTCACCCTGAGGACGCAACGCCTCGGCTGCCCCCCCCCCACGCCTCCCAGGTCTCCCCCTCCGGAGAGCGGACTACAACCCCCATCCCTCCGGCTCAGGCAGCCGAGGGAGGCGGCTGATGGGAACTGTAGTTCCGTCCAATCTGCTTTGAGCCTCGGAGCGCCCGAAGGGAGCGGGTCCGCGCTGCCCACCGCCGCCCGGAGGCCTGTCCGCACCCCACCCAGTCCCCAACTCGCCTGTCCCGTGGGGCGTCTCCTCGCGCCATGGCCGCCCAGCGGGATGCGCCGGGGTGGGAAGGAGGTTGGGTGCTGCACCTTCACCTACTCCGGGGCCCGGGGGCCGGAGGACCCGGGAGGCTGGGTCTTAAGGGCGGTAGACAGAGGTGGGGGGTGTCGGGTCTCCCCGAGGGGCGGGGACGAAGCGGGAGCTGGGGAGGAAAGCCCGGAACGGTTTCTGCGGGTGTGGAGCGCCGCAGGATCGAACCTCGCTCCGCCCCCGGGGCGGGGACAGAGGGTCGCACCACTCCTCCCCTCCTCCCCCCTGCCCGCACTCCAGAGTCCCGCGTTGGACCCTCGAGGTCCCGGGACGCACGACTACCCTCGCCCTCCCGTGCGGCTTAGAGGCGGCTGACCCGGGGAGGTCCCCGGCTGCCTCCCTGCGCCACGGGCCCCCGGCTCGGACCTCCGCGGTTTGAATATGCAAATATGTGCCCCTTCAGAGGTAGGGAAGGGACCTGTCCCGCCCTCCGCGCCCTCCCCCCCCCCCCCCCCCCCCCGCGCCCCCCCCCCCCCCCCCCGCCCCAAGTCCTGAGCTCGGGAGCCGACCTGGTGCGGCTGCTTCCCCCTCGGCTAACTCGGAGGTGGTGCCGGAGCCGTTGAGGAGCCGGCTGCCCGGGGGTAACCCGAGCGTCTGTCGCCAAAGGTCCCGGAGGGCTGCGCCCAGCTGGGTGCTTCGGGCGGCCAAGGAGCGGGCCAGGAGTCCCCAGGCGGGTCTGGCAGACAGACAGACAGACAGAGAGACAGACTGCCTCTTCTCCAAGCGGGTGCCCGTGGAAGCTCGGTGTCTTTGGGGGCGCACTGCGGAGGCGTGGGCCCAGCGGGACTCCCGGCCGGCTTCCAGGTGACAGCTGAGCTGCGTTCGGAGCAGCAGGGAGTTGAGCAAAGGTTCAGGAGGAAAGGCTGACCCGAAGGTGCTCCCCACCCCCGCCGCTAAACAAGCCGACAAAAAACTTTCGGGCGATCCCGGGTCTCATCACTTCAAACCGATTAAGATGCACCTTCCTCCCACCTTTTTTTTTTTTTTTTTCCCTGTGCAAAACTTTGAAAAGATGATAGACCATTGCAATTTTGAGATTAATTTGCTCTCACTCATGGAATTTACAAGTGGGTTTGTTTGCTCTGCAGTCACGGTGCAATATAGAGGATGCTGGTCTAAATCACAAATTATTGTTATAAGTAATGAGATTTTATGATCACTTTCAGATTACGTGTGTGTGTGCGTGCGTTTTAGCCGACTGTGAGTCTAAGGGGCAAAGACTGTGTTTGTCTGGTTCAGTGTTTTATTATTGCAAATATCTAATGCTACTGCCTGTTCATTGGAGGTGTTTGATCAATACTTGGTGAATAAATGGACTGTAATAATATACAAGTCATTCGAGGGAGAACAGAGACAGCATTAAATTACACTGAAGGAGAAAGTTATTCTCTTTTCAATTTGGTTTCAAGCTTCCAGAATATGTCAAGGGGAAAGTCTCAACTTGGTGCCAACATGTTTCTAAGGCCTGTGGGTTTCTCTCCTTTCTCTAACAAAGAGCTGGCATCAGGGTTCCTGCTGACAATTTTATATAAATAGAGGTTAATAACTTTTATGTTCCTTCTTTCTATTTTTATTGTTGCTTTATTTTTCGGGCTGTGGATGCTAGCTTCCTATAATAATGATGTACATTTTTCTTTGAAAAATAAAATGATGTGTAATTTAATAAATAAATGTTTATAATTTTATTAGATGTAAATACAAATATAAATAAATTAAAATATAAGCTTGTTAAAATAATGAAATATTAAATTTTTATAATTCATTTAAGAGTAAATTTGTTTATCATATACCTGAAACTAATGTAACATTGTGTGTCAACTATGCCTTAATAAAAAGGTATAGAAGACAAAAGTAGGGGCGCCTGGGTGGCTTAGTCGGTTAAGCGTCCGACTTTCGCTTAGGTCATGATCTCGCGGTTCGTGGGTTCGAGCCCCGCGTCGGGCTCTGTGCTGGCTGCCAGCTCGGAGCCTGGAGCCTGTTTCAGTCTGTGACTCCCTCTCTCTCTGACCCTCCCCTGCTCACGCTGTCTCTCTCTCTCGCCTAGAAATAAATAAAAAAAAATATTAAAAAAAAAGAAGACAAAAGTAAATTTGCTTATAATTTAATATAAATTCAAAATTAATTTGTGAAAAATGAGTCATTTAAAGGAAATTAAGTAGGGGCGCCTGGCCCTGGATCTAGCGATTCTTGATCTCGGGCTTGTGAGTTTGAGCCCCACATTGGGTGTAGAGATTACCTAAAAATAAAGTCTTGGGGTGGGGGGCACATAAGTGGCTCAGTTGGTTAAGCTTCTGACTTAGGCTCAGGTCATGATCTTGCGGTCTATGATCTGCGCCGGGCTCTGGGCTGACTGCTCAGAGCCTAGAGCCTCTTTCAGATTCTGTCTCCCTCTCTCTCTGCCCCTTCCCCGCTAGTGTGCACGTGCACATTCTCCTTCCCAAAATAAATAAACTTAAAAATAAAAAACCTAAACATGAAAAAAAAATGTCAATATAATGTCCTAATTGTACCACACAGGATAAGTAAAAGTATTTAGTAGTAAAATAGTGTGTGTTTGCATAAGTAAATGCTTGGGCCAGTGGAACAGGTAGATACTGGCCCCTCTTTATAAAACCACAGCGAACCCAATGTCCACCAGTGCTCACACAATACAGGCGAATGGTGAGCCCCGCCTCAAAGGCCACCAGTTTGCTATTGGTGATGTGATTTTCTGAAATAGGGACACAGTGTTGGCAAAGGTCCAAACAAAACCAAGTGGAGCTGTCCCTCTACCTAGACAGTGGCTGTGTTACCAAAGAATGTTGTGTATTTTTAAACCTCAGAAATAATATATTGTGCTCACTACACCAAATGGGCTTAGGGTCCAGGCTCAGAAAATTATCAACTTGCTTTTCAAAATAAAGAACAGATTTTATTTTTAGTACTGATTTAGATTTATAGAATAGTTGACTAAACAGTAGCAGAGTTCCATATACTCACCCTCGCACCCCATTCCACACCCCATTCTCCAGTTGCCCTCATTATTAACATCTTGCTTTAGTGTGGTACACTTGTTACAAATGATGAATAAATATTGATACATTATTACTGACTATAGCCCATGGTTTACAGTAAGATCTACTTCAGGTGCCTGAGTGGCTTGGTTGGTTAAGCAACTGACTTCATGAAGCTCAGGTCATGATCTCACCATTTGTAAGTTCAAGCCCCACATTGGGCTCTGTGCTGACAGCTCAGAACCTGGAGCCTGCTTCAGATTCTGCGCCTCCCTCTCTCTGCCCCTTCCCCGCTCACGTTCTGGCTCTCAAAAATAAATAAATGTTAAAAAAATTTTTTAAATAATCCACTCTTTGTGTTTATATGGATTTTGACAAATGCATAGTATCATGTGTCTACACATTATACATTATTACTGTGTTATATAGAATAGTTTCACTACCCTAAAATAGACTTTGCCTATTCATCCCTCTTTTCCATTCCCTGAATCCCTAGCAACCACAGATCTTTCTACTGTCTGATATAGTTTTGCCTTTTCTGAGCTGTCACCTAGAAGGAATCATTCAGAACGTAGCCTTTTCAGCCTGGATTCTTTACTTAGCAATATGCATTTAAGATTTCTCCATGTCTTTTTGTGGCTCCATAGCTCACTTATTCTTAGTGCTGAATAGTATTTCATTACGTGGATTATCACAGTTTGTTTATCCATTTACCTATTGCAAGGCACGCTGGTTGCTTCCAGGGTTTGGTGATCATAAATAAAGCTGCTGTAAACATTCACGGGCAGGTTTTTGCGTGGACATGTTTCCAACTCAGTTGGGCAAATACCCAGGAGTATGATTGGTGGATGGTGTGGTAAAACTATGTTTCATTTTCTAAGTAACTCTCAAACTTTCAAGTGTGCATGTCATTTTACATTCCTACCAGCAAGGACCGAGCATTCCAGTTGCTCCACATCCTAGTCAGCATTTGGTGTCGTCAGTGTTTTAGATAGTGGAATCCTGTTTTAATTTGCAATTAAATAATATCATGATGAGCATCTTTTCACATGCTCGTTTACCATTTGTGGATCTTCTTTGTTAGGTGTCTGTTCAATCTTTTGACCACTCTTGAATTGTGTTGTTTTCTTCTTGCTGAGTTTTAAGAGGGTTTTTTTTATGTATATTTTGGATACAAGTCCTTGATCAGATATGTGTTTTGTGACTATTCTCCACCCCACCCCACCCCCGCCACCCCCCAACCCGGTCTGTGGCTTGTCTCTTCATTCTCTCAACAAGTCCTTTCACAGACCAGAAGGTTTTAATTTTGATGAAATCCATCTTAACACTTTTTTTTTCTTTTTCTTTCAGCGATCATTCTTCTGGTGTTGTATCTAAACTTATCACCGAACCCAGGTTCACCTAGATTTTTTCCCCTATGTAATCTTCTAGAAGTCTTATTGCTTTGTGTTTTACATTTTTGTCCACGATTCCTTTTGAGTCAATTTTTGTGAATAGTATGTTTGTTTGTTTGTTTTAATCTATAGGAATGCCCAGTGAGTCAGTTAAAAGTTGTTCAGGATGCAGGACAGGTTTTCCTTGTGTGGGACTGTCCTGTGCATTTGGGGATAACTATTATCCCTGGGCTCACCCACTAATTGCAGCTACCATGCTCTTCTCCCATAATTCTGATTACCAAGAGAGAATTCTCCAGTACGCTGGGAGGCAATGTTGTTCTTCTAAGGATCATTCCCCCTGTCACTCCCTGCTAGACAGAGGAGGGAGATGTTCCAATAACATATCAAAAGGTCACTGTAGTTGCTGTGAGTTTTACCACAACATTTTGGATGCATCTGTCCAAAAATTATGTTTATTTTGCTTGCTTCATTTTGAACTTCATATAAATGTAACGTACTTTTTAAAAATTCAGCACAGGGGCTCTTGGGCGGCTCAGTTGCTTAAGTGTCTTACTTCAGATCAGGTCCTGAACCTGATCTCCTGGCTTGTGAGTTCAAGCCCCGTGGTGGGCTCTGTGCTGACAGCTCAGAGCCAGAAGCTTGCTTTAGATTCTGTGTTTCCCTCTCTCTCTCTGCCCCTCCCCTGCTTGTGCTCTGTCTCTCTTTCTCTCAAAAATACATAAACATTAAACTTACTTCAAAAATAAAATAAAAATTCTACATATTTTTGACATTCATTTGTGCTGTATAACACAATGATTGTTCATTCCCTGTTCACGGATGTGTAATATTCCACTGCCACATGATGTTTATCTTGTTGGATAAGTGTTGCAGGCATTTGGGTCGTTTCCAGCTGTGTTCTAGGCTAAGCAGTGCTGTTCTGAGTGGTGTTGGACCCACTGTGTATATCTTCTGGGCATCTGTGCAAGAGTTTCCATAGAGTCCGACTTCGGCTCAGGTCATGATCTCACAGTTCATGGGTTCAAGCCCCACATCGGGCTCTATACTGACAGCTGGCTCAGAGCCTGGAGCCTGTTTCGGATTCTGTGTCTCCCTCTCTCTCTGACCCTCCCCTGCTCACGCTGTCTCTCTCTCAAAAATAAATAAAGCATTAAAAAAAAAAGAGTTTCGATAGATCAGGGTTTCTCAGCCTCAGCCCTAGAGACGCTTGGGGGGGGCAACTTGTTGCGGCAGCTTCCTGTGCCCTGTGGGGTTTCCAGCAGCTTCCTAGACCATACTGCCTAGATGCCAGGAGCACCCTCCCCCAGTTGAAATGATGTTTCCACACATCACCAAATATCCCCTGGGGGCAAAATTGCCCCTCGTTGAGACCCCCTGTTTGGGGGTACTTGTTTTCAGCTCTATCAGACCCAAAACCCTCTTTTCATAACATATTTTGCCACACCACTTTGATGATCCTAAAAGAGATTCACAAGGCACATAACCCACCTACACAATTTATTT